TATAGGTAAGCAGGAAAAGTAAACTGAATGGAAGGAGAAAGAAGGCTGAGCAAGGTAGATACCATGTAGGTGCCAAAGGAGAAAAATGCCAGAACCTTACTGACAAGCCACTGCCTCATGGTAATACACAGACTAATAGAAATGAATTAATTTATGACATAAGAGCTAGCTAATATGCTTGAACCATTGACCAGTGTTGTAATCAATATAGTTTTTGTGTGATTGTTCACGTCTGGGTGACCAGGGAAAGAAAAAGGTCTCTGATTACAATAGCCTTGTGATCTACTTAGCAAAATGAGGAAAACATCAGACTCCAAGGCCAAAATTTTCCAGAATATGGGATCATGCATAAGGAAAAATAGTTCAGGAGATAAGAATTACGGCTGAAGTTGGGTTGCACTGAAGGTTAGTATTGACAGAGGATTCTGTCCCGTCCAGTGAATTGTAGACTGGCTTTCTTTGTTTTATGTCTAAAAGCCACTTATGAGTGAGTACATATGATATTTGTCTTTCTGGGTCTGAGTTACCTCACTCAATATGATGTTTTCTAGATCCATCCATTTGCCTGCACATCTCAAACAGACATTCTCTAGCTAACATGTCCTTCATTTAAGGACAACAAACTTCTACTTGGATCCTTTGTGATGTACAAATAAATGTCTGTTGAACATGAATATGCTACTTAATGTCCTCTCAGTCTGCCTTGCCTTTCCCAAACTCTCATCCAAGAGTTTTCATCCCTCCCTTCTTTCCTGTTGTTTACTTTTTAAGATAATCAGCCATTCATCACCATATGAACAGAAGTGAGATGAATTTTAATGAGCCTGTTAAACCTGTTTTATTTTCCCCTTTAGCTGAATGCTGAGTGAATGGCATCTTCTTGCACCCAGGAAGTGATGCATGGACAGAGGAGATGGGAATGTTCTTTTTCTCTGCCAAGAATATGGAAGGTGCCCTTAAATCCACCTGAACACTTACTGGAAAGAGTTCTGTTCTGGCACTGCCTAGTCATCTCATCTACAGCTGTTCCAGCTCCATGACACATGAGCAGGAGAACGAGTTATAACAATCGCCACTAAGAGTCAGGTGTGGTGCCAACACCAGTAACTATAGCACTGGGGACAGCAAAGCTGAGGCAAGGGCATTGCTGCCAAGTTTGAGGTCATCATGGGCTACACAGGGAGTTCTGAGCCAGTCAGGCTATGGTGTTGAGACTCTGCCTCAAACATCTTCAAGATGAAGAAAGAGGAGGTGGAAAGAATATTTCCCCATATCTCTTTAGGACCTCTGTGCTTTATGAAAGTCGACTGGAAAGAAACACAAACAGAGATGAAGTGGAAGCCTACCTGGATCTTTCAAGGGGAAGGTTTCCATTAGAAGATAACCCTAGAAATCAACCAACATTGAGAAAACACAAGCTGAGCTGCATGGGAATGGGTCTGGTGGGAAGCAGGGGCATTTGAGGAGTATAGCTAAACAGTACTGTAATGATCTGTCCTGACTTTTTAAGAGACAAGCCATGCCCACTCCCTCCCCAGTCCACTGAGGCAAGCTCATCTTAGCTCCCCCAAAGAGGCAGCTTCTGCCTTGTTCCATTCTCTCCCTACTTCTACCCTTTCCCCCTTCTGTCCCTCCCTCTCTCCCTCCCTTCCTCCTTTCCTCCCCCCTCTCTACCTCTCTGCTCTTCTCATCTTCTCCCTTTCCCCTCCATAACCCACTAAATAAATAAATATCCAACCTCACCTTGCACGGCATGCCTATCCAAGTTTCTGTCTCTCACCTGCCACGTGGCTCCCTGCCTGGGACCAGCCGCCTTCGGAGACCTGCAGCATGGTCTTGTGTGTCATTCCTGCTTAGGACTGTCTGCTCTCAGGACCCCTGCCCACTGCCTGCCCCAGCTCAGGGACCTGCAGCATGGTCTCATGGTCTACTACCTGCTGTAGCCCCTTGGGATCCTGCAGCATTTTATTTTTACCATTACAAGTACGACCTTGACAGTTAGACTGGTTCTGACAGAGTAATGGAGCCAAAGCAAGCCCCCAAAATGTTCTGGCTTACAGGTACTTACAGTGACACCCTCACAAAGTTGCCCAGATTCTGACCAAAAATTATCAAGCTTTTGGTAAAGACTATGAGCTTACAATGTTGAGTATGCTTTGTAAATTCAGAGTTTAAAAATAGAAGTCAGGCCTAAGAGGCAGATCTTGCAGCTCAAACATGTCATGCTCTGTTTTTAGAGATTTTAAGAGTGAAATAAAGTTGGGAAATTGGTATAGTTACTAAAATAGGTGTTATTTCCTATTAATTATAGCACTAAATGCAAAGCTTTACCAGACAGTGGAAAAAGGTGCATACTTGTATAAAAATAGAATGGCTAATTATTTTTCCCTGACTTTGGTGCTGAAGAGACTGTGATAAACAGCTTATTAGTTATGTACCCATCATTTCCTGATTTAATAACTGATGAAATACACATCAGGACAAAGACTAGAATGAACTGAGTACCTACTCCATGACTGACACCAGGCTGGGTTCTTAATAAGTTTCTTCCAAAGCAAGTGGTCTCCACAAGATGAGGGTACTGACCTGACAAGGCAGAAAACTAACTAAGCTAATCAAGCTGAGTGATCAAGCCTATAGTTAAGACTCAGTGGTCAAGCTGTGATTCCAACCCAAATATGTTAGAGCTTACCAGTAGCATCCACAGGAGACCTGTTACATATCACAGGGCTTTTCCCTACCTGCCGTACCCTTTCATGACCTGTCAGGGGAAAACTCACTGTCTCAACATACTAATACGAACTGAAGGTGGTTAAGACACTTGTCTATTATCATGCTATGAAGAAATATATATAAGGGAGGAACTTGCCATAGCAATTTTCCATGGTCCTAGACTTTTCTTCTCCATGCAAACCTAGATTGGTGATAAGTGCTTTAGTTTAATGAAGATAACCATGACTTGATACTGCATCCTCAATATGCTGTAGTTTATCTCTACATGAGAATTTTTATTAGCATAGGTCTCGAGGAACAGGAAGTCTGCACGACGGGCATCACATGAAACCTCCCTTTTCCATGCAAAAATATAGAGGTATCTATGTCTCTTTGAAAGCCTAGACATTAATGAAAAGATGGCTGTTTTTGCTTCATCTACATACATGATGCCTTCTCACTGACCTACTGTGAAGTCATACACAGTCCAATCTCAAATGCATTAAGAAAATAGTGTTCATGAATCTGAGGGACACAGCTCAATCAACAAAGTGCTTGCCATGCAACTTTGAGGATCTGAGTTAGGCACTCTGTATCCATGTAAAAAAGCTATGTGTGTGGGTGTTTGTATGTGTGTGTGTTTGTGTGTGTGTCTGTGTGCACACGCATGCACGTACGTGCACATATTTGTATTCTCAACTCTGTGGAGGCAGACAGGCAGATTCTTAGGGCTTGCAGACCAGGCAGTCAAACTTAATCATTGAGTGCTAGGTCCTGATAAGAAACCCTGCCTCAAAAAACATGGTGGAAGACACAGGAGATTGCTTTTTGGCCTCTATACATATGAATCTGGAAGCATGTATACACACACACACACACACACACACACACACATACAGGGAGGTGTCTCATTGTTCTTGCTGGAAGAGAGACAATATGTCCTATTTCATTATAGAAGGGCTTTGGATATTCTGCTTCAGAAACATCTCAAAAGCTTCTTAAAGTGCAATATTGACTCCTCCACAGATCCACTAGATTCCTTAAGGACAGAGCCCATTATACTTTACTTAAGAGTATTAGTATCACATATGTATGCAATGTCAGGACATTAAGGACAGTCTGGGATACATAGTAAATTCTATGCTGGCCTGGGCTCTGTCACAAAATTTAAAACCAAATACAAACAAAAAGTATTTGATGATAAAATGTTTCAATTTTGAGCTATCCAGGTCAGTAGCTAACCTTGCAGGCTTCCTTAATTAGGGTTGTACTCTTGAAATCTCTAAGCATCAATTTTCTCTAGCATCAGGATCCTATGATGCTAATTCAAGTTAGCACCTACTTCAATGTCAGACTAATGCCTAATTCTTCCTACCAGGTAGGAAGAAGTGCTGTCTTGCCATTACTGAAATTCAGAAGTACTTCCATTCATACTATCCTGGTCATCCTATCTTCAGTTTCCCATTCCTGACCTTATCAGAGAGTCCTCAGATTCCTCTATTATGTAGTAATATACTTATCCATTCCCTGAAGCTATGGGCTGATCTATGGTACTTAGAATTCAGATATGTGTTGAATAAGGAATGGATGCACAAATAACTATTAACAGAGAAAAAAAAACAAGAAACAAAGAGAAGTTCCAAGATTGTTGGTAGTAACAAAGTAGAAAAAATACTTGACTTTAGACATGATAGTTGAGGAATGCAGTACCTAGAACTAACAATTTTCAAATACATCTGCCTATTCTTCTGACACTCGGTAGGCTATATATGAACCTTTTAGAGATAAGAATAATCAGAGAAAATATGAGCTCCTGCTGCTTTCCCAGCCTATACATGGAAGACTGCAGTAAGATAAATACTGATATGTATTGCAAGTGCAGACCCCTGAATATCCAAGCTACACATACAATATACAAGACAATATCTGTTCAATTAAGGAACTGAATATTGAATTTAATTGCTAGAGACTGGTCTCTAATTTATACCAATAGTTAAAGACATTACAGGTCAAACTGATAAAGAATTCAATGGGAGATCAGCATTAAAACCAACAGAGAGGCTTTCTGGAAAGACTGAACCATACTTCCACAGTTCAACTGCTTATTGCTTGCAGCATGACATAGACTAATAACTGAAGTGCCACCTGTGCATGTCCTACGCTCTGATGAAACAGGAAACTGGATGTCCTCCTCCACATTGCTACACATCCACTCTCTTTTAGGAAGGGACAATGAGTCTAAACTTCACTGTCTGTTGTCCCCCACCTACATTGCCATTATGATTTACCTGTGTTGTAGCCCCTTCCAAGGGCTGGCCATGGACGGTGATTTTTCCAGAGATTTCCAAGATACCAGTCACTCTGGTTCTCTACCAAGCCCAGGACCTGTTGGCCTGTAAAACACAGAGAATACAGATGTCTTGGAAGCAGCAGCTCAGGCATCTAGGGCTGGAGAGTATCAAACACAATGAATAATTATGCAGATCCTCATAATAACAGCTAACATTCACTGGGGGCTTTTATTAAGTGCTCGGTCCTGACCCAAGTGTTTAACTTGCATAAACGCATTTCATTCTTATAATTAGGCAGCTGCTTTTATTATCTCCATTTTACAGAGAAGAGACAGCTTCCAAAATGGTTAATTATCTTGTCCAAGGTCATCTACTTTTGGTAATGCCATAGTCTCCAGTCATCCATCCATGTACCCAAACATCTGTCCATCTATCCATGCATGCATAGTTTCATTCACATGAAACATGAGTATATCTTTATGACCTGACATACTAATTTTCAAGCATTCCAATATGATGTTTTCTTTTATATATTAATTTATTGGCTTTCTGCATATTATTTTAAATTAAAGAATAAGGAATTATCCTTGTTTGATGAGAGGAGAGTCCATAGTGAAGAACCACCCGGTGGCCAGCTTGTCACAGGCTTCTGTTGTTATTACTTCCAAAATACATCCGTCTATGTTTTGTTAGAGGCTACTTGTTCATTTTCTGGCTGCCCAGACCCAAAATAATCACACAGAAATTGTATTATTACAACATTGCTTGACCTATTAGCTCACATTTCTCATTTGCTAGCTCTTGTATCTTAAATTAATCCATTTCTATTCATCTTTGTATCGCCATCTGGTTGTGGCCTACTGGTACGGTTCTGTCTGATGTCCAGCATCTTTCTCCTGTGGCGGCTATATGGCTTCTCCCTTACTATGTCTACTCTCTTTCTATGTCTTTTCCAGCCTAATTATATTCTGTTAAGCCACTGGCCGAAAGCAGCTTCTTTATTAACCAAAGGCAGTAAAACATATTCATAGCATACAGAGGGGAATCCCACATCATCTATGTTACTAAGCACCATGTCAACCTCATGCCAATGCAATAATGTCATCTGGATGGATAAGTACTTTTCTGCCACCATAGTCAGCCTTGTCTCTGGTGAACCATAACATTTCAGATGGGTAGTCTATCATTTAGGGCTGTGTTTCTAGGGTATCATTAATCATATTTGGCTGTGTTTAGTGAGTATGGTCCATCACTAAGGGATGTGTGTCTGGAATGTAGGTAGGACTGAATCTCTGAGCTTTTCAGGCATGTTATCAAACTTACCTAGTTTCATTTAGACATTCTAATATAAGATATCAGAAAAAGATATCTTAGAATTATCTCTGCCATTTTATTGATTGGGGAATGAGACTTTCACACAACCAGTGATTAATACAATTACAAACAATTACTGATGGAGCTAGTATGTAAATCTGCATTTGTCTGACATCCACATCCTTTTCTTTTCAGAGCTTCACAGATCCACATTTCACAGAATGAGAAACTAAGGTTTAGGAACTTTAAATGATTTGCTAACAGTCACACAACTAGCCACTGATGGCTTTCAAAGCTAACCTTCTTAAGTGAACCTTCTCATGCTGTTGACCAACCTTAGAAATAAAGAGCTTTCTAACCAAATGAAAACCCAGCTGCATGCTAAGAAAACACAGCAGTACTGTTGGAACACAACACTCTGTGATATAGGACCTTGGTTTGATGACAGCTCTCTGAAATGATGGTGCAAAAGTTTGCTGCAATTTATTTGATCAGTTTATTAAGCTGCTATCTAAATCATTGTTCCTGCACAAACATATAAATTAGAGGCACAGGAAAAATACTACCGCCTACTTTGTCAATGTAGATGATTGCAACCCAAACTTGTAGAATCCCTTCATAAAGTGTATATTCAACTCAGTGAGTGGAAGAGCCAATAAATGCCTCAAGCAATAACCTTGGGGTTTATTGCAAAACAACCAGCTCAAAAAGACTTGGCCCCTTAGTTGAGAAGCTCTATTCAGAATCCTTGCACTGGAGAACAATTTGATATACCTACATAGGAGGATTAGACAAAGCTAAAATAGTCCTTGGAGGTAATGGCATGCACTAATTAAGGAGCCTGAGTTAGTATCATCAATGCTTTTGAACTGATAAAGGGCATCACAAATTCAGACCTGGCAAAGATGTGGTGGTTTGAATGAGAAATGCCCTACCATAGGCTCAGGCATTTGAAAATTTGGTAAACAGTTGGTAATGCTGTTTGGAGAGGTGGTGCAGCTTTGCTGAGGGAAATGTATCACCAAGGGTGGGTTTTGAGAAATTTAAGACTTGCCCTAATTCTGCTTCTCTCTCTGCTTTATGTTTGTGGTGGAAGGTGAAATCTTAAAACTCATCCCATCCCTGATCCCATCCCTGTTGCTTGCTATCACACCTTCCTGCCGTGATTTACTCTCATTTCCCTGGAACCTTAAACAAAAATAATCTGTTCTGTAAATGATTTTTTGACCATGGTATTTTGTCACAGCAACAAAAGAGTAACTAGCACAGGTACCATATACTCAGAGCTGACAAGCAGGGAATAATGAGGCTTTACTGCATTGAGGATGGCTAAATACATCTCAGGAAATATGGACTTTCAGTATCTGAAGTCCAAATTCTGTATTTTGGCACCACCCACATTTTATTTGTCTCAAACTATTGCTTCAAACAATTATTCTCCTAGCTAATGCTTCATTCCTACCCAACAAAATCGTAGGGTGTTACTTGTGTTCTTGCCTTTCTCATTCACTAATGAGACACAATCACTCCTGGCAACACCGATCTATTCCTGAGAGAATGTTGAGCACCAAAGACACTCCACCTGGAGCCTTTCTTCTTGGCAGAACTGGCCTTTGGGTAAAGAAATGCTCATACCTCAACTACTGAGTTACAGAATATCCGTAAATGGATAAAACAGGACTGTCATATCCTGCCAAGACAGGGTAAGATAGTTTTGAAGTTTCTTGCCTTTGAAAATGGTATGTCAGTTACATCAGGCCTTAGCCAAAGTTGTTTGCTTCAATGCTGCAAACATGACTTTGGGTATTTGCCCAGGTAGCCAGTTGTCTCTGTGATTTGTTACATGTTCTGGAAGTTGTTTGATTGCACTTCCTAATTACTCAGGTAACATTATTTCCCTTCTCAGATCTTCGATGGGATTGAAGATTATATAAATGTAATTACTTTCCTTTCATGACTTGGCCAAGTTATTTGTTATGCAAGACTTAAGCTAGTTAGAATAGGATATTTGTATTTATTGTATATAATTTCATAGGTTTGTACTTATTGTATATAATTTCGTAGTAGGCTTAGAACTCTCTTACTTAAACAAAAGGGGGAGATGCTGCAGGAGCTCCTTCCGCTCCTTCAGCCAATTGCCACTGAGTTATCAGCCCATTGGGGCGTGGTCTCTCTCTCTTTAAAAAAAGCAGCGGTGTCCTCCTCTCCCTCTCTGGCTTCCGGCTCTGCTTCCGGCTTCTAGACTCCTTCCCTGTTCACACGGAGGGGCTGTTGTCTGGGATGGTAATCTGTAAGTTTTTTCCCCTTTGAATAAATAACCATTCTATTAAACATAATTGCAAACTGGTGTGGTATTGTCTGTGACTTACGCCTTCATCCCTCGGCAGGGATCATACTTGCCCCTGCTAGTCCTTACCCACAGTCTTCTCAAAGTCAATATTGAGCTTGACACTTAACATATAACTCCAAGTCTGAGATATATTTTGTATTTAAGGCATCATGGCATATATTTTTATTTGGTACTTTTTATCAGTATTTGTGCCTTCAGTAGATTTACATCCCTTAAATCACCAACTGAGTAGTAATAAGCATACATGCCCCTCATGTGTACCTGCCCCATATTCCTATATTAGCAAATAGGCAAGGTCTGGGTAATATTTCAATATTTCACATACAGTAAGTTTTTACATACATACTAGTGTTCTTTCATGTCTTTGTGTGTGTGTGTGTGTGTGTGTGTGTGTGGTGTATGCATATGTATAAACAGGTATGCATGTGTAAGTGTGTGAATGGTAGAGGTTTACATCAGATGTATTCCTGTATTGTTTTCTACCTTAAACTTTCAAATTAAGTCTCTCAATGTACCTAGAGTTTGCTGCTTCAGCTGGGCAGGCTCACAAGCCCCAGGGACATTCCTATCCCTGTCTTCTAGACATGTTACAGATGTGTTCGACCAGTCTTAGGCTTTTGAGTCAGATTCCCATGATTGACCTCATTACTTTACTGACTGACTTGTTCCAATAAAGTACTGTCAATTCAACCAATATATCCACTTCAAGTCAACACTTTCTTTTACTTTCCTTTATTTTTGACTGTACTAGGGATTGGACATAGGCCTCTAAGTATGGTAGACAAGTGTTCTACCAATGTCAAATATCCTCACATAAGCCTAGGAATTTTAATAACAGTTGGTGGTATCCACAGCCCCAGCCCTTGTCCCTGTGATTTTGAAAATGCATGTCATCTCACTCTTTCCTATTCACAATAACAATGCAACTTTTATAAAATTGTTGAGCTAAGGTGTCAGTGCCCCTCACACGGAGAACTGCAAAGATAGAAAATAGCAGCAGCAAATTGCTTATAAAAAGCTTAAACTTAAGAACCTTCAGGAATAACTTTAAGTTGCCTCTGAAGATAACATTCAAATTCTTTTTCTCTCAAGCCTGGGATATCTTTCTTCTGCTGACAGCACAAAATTCCTTCACTTGATGTTGTACAAAAAAATAACTATGAACATGATTATAATGTTCATATTCATTGGCCGAAAAGAGCAAAATATTCAACAGACGATTTCATTTTGCTTTAAGTGGATTCAGTAGCGGTTTTGTCATTTATTGAAACAGTAGTGAGCAGAAGTGATTTTTCCTTATTGTTTGTTCAGCAGCCTTGGGTTCTGCATATAGGCTTGTGAATTCCCTGAGTTGTCTGCTTGGTGTGTCTCCCAAGCCCACTGAGGTCTGTAGCTATGGACAGGGCGCTGTAAGCATTAACACTGTTGGAGGCAGAGG